GGGGGGGGGGAAAGGACAAAGGCATTTAATCCTATTTGGAAGAGTGTCAAGACACATACATTAAACTAAACACCAGAAAACAGCATCTACACCATCTGATTGAGGTCATCAAAATGCAGTTGCCTCAACTTTATTTTCTAGAGGCTGCTCAACAGACATGTTATTTAGGAAATTTCTTAAATCCACTGTTAACACTCACCATAGAAGTTATTGTAGATTATGACTCATCATGACTCTTTCTAAGGATATTAATTGCCTACGGTCATTTCCATGATAGATGGTAAAATGTTTGTAGCCGATGAAAATAGTTCAGTTGATTTGTGCACTTCATAATACTGAAGTATTCAACAAACTTCCCCTACTATTTTATTTTTTTTAAATTATAATTACAGACAGTAGCCACATCATAAAAGGATAAAAAGTTACAAACAAGCTGACTTGGAAGTTCCTCTTGAACAGAAGTTATTAAACCTGCATGATTATATAAATTTGCCTCTTAAGTGAATGTTTTCAAAGTTATAACATCATTAATCCAAGTCTAAGCATGGATTATTGAGTAAATATAATTTTTTTCAGGGAGAACCTAAGCAAAATATAGATAGGAGAAGAATTCATAATCATAGGGCTACCTCACTGCTCTATAACTGGAGAAACAAACACCACTGTATCACTAGGCAGGGGACTACAATGACATCTTCCAACAGTAAATTTATCTTCTTTGTTTACAGTCTTTTCCTGGAAGGAAAACAGATACTTCTCCTTTCTTAACAAAAATATTTACTCTCTGTACAAAGCCAGGGAACCTAATGTAATCCTTGTTTTAGTAGTAGAAACCAGAAACTAAGTCCACAAAAACTCCTCTCTCTGCTATACACTTGCAAAAAATTTCCAACTTTTTTTTTAACATATCTGTAATTAAATATTTCTACTTTATCCTGAAAATGCCAAAGAAACAACTATAAAGTTTTCCTCTGACAGCCTCTTAAAGCAGGTCACACACAGCCCTTTTGAACACTTAGAGAACAATGATATGATGGAATAAACTACTGCATCCCTCCTTACAGTAAATGGAACCTGGTGGTCAATCCTACACTTGTATATAATTCCCTGACAAACTGAAATACTGGCAAGGATTGTGCCATAGTTATGTCATATTCCACAGTGTGAAGTCTAGCATTTAGTCTCTGTTGTCCATTTACAATTACTGTGCTATATGCAGCTGTACTCAATGGTGGGTGGATTTGCTAGAACAGAATGAAGCTTTAACACTGACATGAAGGCAGGAACACATGTACCAAGAGACATCAAGTGTTTGGTTTTGTTTGCTCCTTATTTGTTTCTTCACATCAGTAAGTTGTCAACACTGATGTACAACCTGTTCTTTTCAGAGATACCATTAAGTCCGGAAAGGGGTTAGTCTGGTAAACTCTGCCCTTGGCTGCAAAAATCAAGTATAGGGAGTCCTGTTTAACCTAAACTTAAGATTTCTTTTTATCCTGTGGAGCTCGTGTGCATTATTGTTACCAGCTCTCACAGCATCTGGGTGTCAGTGTTTATGTTACTGGCACGGAAAAGCATTGTTAAGAAATGGAGTCCTGATGCAACTGCTGTTACAACAGGGGACAGACACAACATGTTTCTTGGTTCTCAGAAGTCTATGCCTGCAGCTTGACAGGCAGCAAAATAGCTGGCTGGCAAGAAGAAGAGAGGTCTCTCTTCCTGCTACGCC